TCTTTCTTTCTTTCTTTCTTTCTTTCTTTCTTTCTTTCTTTCTTTCTTTCTCCTGCCTCCCTCCCTCCTTCCCTCACAACATCTGCACTTCCAAAACACAAGCAAAACATTCTTTAGATCATAAGAAGTTGAAGAGGCCCAAACCAAGCAACTCAGCAGCTTTTATTGGAATGGTATTCAAGCTGGTGTATTTCACAACAGAAAGATGGGAGATTGTTGTCGCCCTGTGGACTGAATCACTCGGGCGGGAACGGGTTAGGCGGTGTTTAAGGCAATTTGCTAATTTTTCATGACATGCATGGGTGACCAAACACACTCACTACGGCAAGCACAGGTGCTGGAACGTGCCAGAATAACTTCTCCGTGGCTTTCATAATGTAGCTCTCGCCAGTTGATGAGAGGACGTGAAACCACACGATTGTTCCACACGCGACATATTTCCTCAGGTTCCAGGACCCGGCCCCAGAAGTAGACATCTTCAATCTCTCCCACAAAGGACTGGTTGACATCAAACTGACCTCCAAAGGAGTCTTGTTCCTGTCCCAAGATGATGGAGGCATTGCCATGGACAACTAGATCTTTCATGATCGATTTCCGAGATAAGAGTTTCCCGTTCCACCATAAAGTTGCCAACCCTGTTTCGGACTCCCAGCTGAAACAGATGTGCTCCTTGCCGGTGGAAGATACTGGTTTTTTGGAGACGTCGAAGGTGATAACCCCCTGTTTCATGAAGATGCTGAAGATGTTTGGCCTATCGCAGTGGAGCAAGAACTCATTGTCCTCACTCTCGGTGGCGTATGAGAAGAGGGCAAATGGACGTATCAAGTCTGTCTGGAACCTCTCACACAATGTGAAGCTTTCCAGAGAGTTCTGCAAGTCCAGCTTCAACCTCACGTAGGCCGAATTCGAAGCCGATGGGAAAACAAAGGCTTTTCCTTCGAGATCTGCAAGGAAATAATCATAGTTTCAATGAAGAGCCCTGCCTCCCTCGCAGGAGCATGTCCTAAGCACGCGTTCTCCTTTGATCACTGATATTTCTACACCCGGCCAACGTTGAAGAGACACAAAGCCCTCTCAGATCAGAAACCTCTCTCTGACCTTCTCTCTCTTTGATGCCCCAGCATCAAGGCCACTCAGCTGCTCTCTTGGATAGACATTGATCTTTCCCAGAAGGCTTTGGGGCAGGAGCCCCATTTTTGTGAGATGGTAGAACAGAAGGCAAAAAGGGGAAATAGCAGTATTAAACTCTTCCCTAAGCACGGATAAATCTCTCAGAGTGTTTCTATGGTGGGGAACGCTCAGCTTCTCATTCTTCCAACCTTCAGCTGATACCAGGCACCACATCAAGGATGGAGTAATAGCAACGATGACAACAAAACCGATGCAGAATATTTTTGAGCACGTTTTCCTGCACGCTGCCACTTTTCCTGAAGTGCCTTTGACTGACGGACTGATTGATTGATTGAATTTCTACGCCGCCACATTACAGCTAGCAGGGCCTTAAAATATGCAAGCACGGCATCCATTAATATATCCACAGTAAAAGATCAGTGCAAAAATAGAAAATAAACTGAAATGAGAAGAGAGCATTAACCAACCACTCAAGGACAGTGGGTATGTCATTCATATACTTTGGCTTGTTACATGCACGGTGGGAGATGAGGCTGAAATGAGATTTTGGGGTCCAGTGCATGGCGGGAATCCAGCCTTCCTTTGTGGTTTCCCATGTTGTACAAAGCATCACCCGGAGCCAAAATAGTGTTTCTTTAAGCGTCACACACTGTGTGAACGCAGCAATTATGTTAACAAGTTACGCTGAAAGAAATAAATCAGTTTGTGGCATAACGAGTCTGTGTTTACATTATGCATTAAAACAAAGGCTGGGTTCCTGTTGGATACAGGACCATAAATGATCCAATCCAATTTTAACCTAGTCTAGGGTGTTGGGTAAACTCCTCCTCTGAGTAGTGAGGTATTGATCCAAATGTTTTTTCCTGGCACTTTTGAAAAGTGTTTCTTCTGATCGTAAGAAGAATAAGAAATGGGGCATGGAGGAGAGGAAAGAAGAGGGAGGAGGAGGAGGAGAAGGAGAAGGAGGAGGAGGAGAAGGAGAAGGAGAAGGAGAAGGAGAAGGAGAAGGAGAAGGAGAAGGAGAAGG